GAGGGGTTACAGTGGCCGGTGTGGTGGGCGTCGGGCGGCTGATCACTGGCATGGACCGGGGGCTGCAGGGTATGTGCGTGAACGAGCGGCGTCACCTCATCGTGCCCCCCCACCTGGGCTACGGCAGCATCGGAGTGGGTAAGGGGCCGCGGCACGGTGGGGGGACGGAGGGAGCAAATCCCCCGGGGCTGGCGTTAGTGGGGCCGGAGGTCAGGCACCCAGCTGGCAGGCTCTGGCAAAGGACGGCTCCGTTGCCAGGGCACTGAATAGCCAAGGCAAGTGGTACCTGAGCAGGGAAGGAGGGGTCCTGCTTGGGAGGGCTTCAGGGGACAGAGCCCTTGGCATACCTGGGCTCGGCGCTGCTCCCACCTAAGGTGCTCTGTCCTCGCTGCCGCCCCTTTAGCGGGGCTGATCCCCCCAGACGCCACCTTGTACTTTGACGTCATCATGCTGGACATCTGGAACAAGGATGACAAGCTGCAGATCACCACCCTCTCCAAACCGGAGCACTGCAACCGCACGGTGGAGAACTCAGACTTCGTGCGGTACCACTACAATGGCACGCTGCTGGATGGCACCCCCTTCGACTCCAGGTACGGGGCACCGGCGCTGGGATGCAGCCTTGGAGCAGGGCACTGGAGCTCGGGTGCACCCTCTGCCTCGGGGCTGGGGGCAGCAGGGATGGCAGGGACCAGGGGACACTGGCCTGGTGGAGGACATGGGGACCCATGCTGCACCCCAGTCAGAGCAGACTCCCCCCGTGCTCTCCCTCCCCACACCGCGGCAAGGCTGGTGCAGCTCTGTGACCCCCAAACCAGCCTCCCGCGCGGCACCGCTCGGGCCGGGGGAGCTGGTGTGGCCCTGGAGCCATCGCCCCCTCATTCCTCCCCACCAGCTACAGCAAGGACAGCACCTACGACACCTACGTGGGCACCGGCTGGCTGATCAAGGGCATGGACCAGGGGCTGCTGGGCATGTGCGCCGGGGAGAAGAGGAGCATCATCATCCCCCCGTTCCTTGCCTATGGGGAGAAGGGCTATGGTGAGTTGGGCATCACTCTGTCATGCCTGGCCCCTTCCCTTCCAGCTCTGCGCAGAGCCCCCCAGGGTACATCAGGACCCTTGTCCGGGCTGACCCGTGTCCCCTCCCCAGGGACCGTGATCCCACCGCAGGCCTCGCTGGTGTTCAGCGTGCTGCTGGTGGACTTCCACAACCCCAAGGACGGCATCTTCCTGGAGCACCTGGAGGTGCCAGCATCCTGCAAGCGCAGGGCTGTGACTGGGGACTTTGTCCGCTACCACTACAACGGCACGCTCATGGACG